GCAGACCTCCCCATCCTTCTCGGGACACCCGCTCCCCCTGCCGATGACGGGACGGGGGAAGACGCAACGGCGGCTCGGGGGGGAGGGGCGACGGCTGCGGGCTCGACAATCTCGACCGGGAACCTCGCCCCACGCCGGTACGCCGCCGCCTCCTCATCCAAGCACCGACAGTACCCCTCGAACCCCGCTCTCACGTAGCCCAGCGACTCCTGCTTGTCGTCGTTGCCGCTCCCGCGCCCCTCGGCCCGCTCACGGCCCCCCGCCGCCGCAATCAGCCCGTAGCCAGCAACGCTAGCCCCGCCGCCGCGACCACCACTACCGCAGACGGCACCGGCGCCGCGGATCGTGGCCACCCCCGGCCACTCGCCGCCGGCGGCCACCGCCCAGCTGCGGACACGGCCGCCCGGGAGCTCGACCCGCAGCTCGCCCTTTCGGGTCCAGAGGGACAGCGAGGCGCCGTCGGCGAAGGCGGCGGCGAAGTCGGGGTCCGGCAGGTTCTCCATCAAGGCACACAGAGTGAACTTCTCCTCGGCCCGCTGTTGCGGAGCTCGGCCTGGTACTCCCGCTTGCGGCGGCGGCGGCGGCGGCGGCGGGTCACGGCGCAGCACCACCTTGGGCGTCTTGCTCCGAAGGGCGTCCACAATGCCGGCGAGGCTCCTGTACAGCGGGTGGAGAGCCGCCGGCAGCGCATCGAGGCTAAAGCCGGGGTCGGCCAAATCGTCCTTGTTGTCTCCCGACGCCAAGCACGCCTCCATCGTGCCCAACACCCGACCGCCCCCGACTGCCGCTGCCTCCCTCGAGAAGGATAAGGAGGTACGCCTGCCGCCACCGCTTGCGGCCTCTGTCACGCCGCCGCCCCCGGCCCACACTCGCTCGCCGTCCGCGGAAGCGATCAGCCACCGCTTTCCCACCGCGATGCTCGCACGACCGTCCGGGTAGACCTCGACGGCCGCCGCCTTGCCTCCCGACCGGTGGGCCACCGGTTTCACGCGGGCGGTGGACAACGGCGCCAGGAGACAACTCCCGCCGCTGCTGCCAGCAGCAGCAGCAGCAGCAGCAGCAGCAGCAGAAGTCGCTTTTCTCGCCGTCGGCTGTCCCGACATGGACGCGGAAACGGAGTGGCCAACCGCCGCCGCTGTCGACCCCAAGCAGTAGCCGCCGCCGCCGTCACTGCCCTTGCCGGTGGACGTCTTCTCATGGAGGTCTCGTCCAGCTGCGGCCGCGGCACGAAGCCCGTGAAGCCCTTGTGACTTAGGCAAGCTTGCCAGGTGCTCCTGCTCGAGCATCGGCAGCGGCTGAGGAGGGAGCGGTGCTGGAGGCTTTGCGACGCCTCTGTCTCCCTGCCGCTGTCGCCGACGGCGAGCCGACGGGCTGGCTGCGGGGGCGCACGGCGGGGAGCTGTTGCTCGAGTCGCCGCTGCTGCTGTAGCCGGCTAGATCGAACCGTCGCTCCCCCGGCCTGGTGATGCCGCTTGCCGGTACGCTGTTTCGCTGCCGTTGCTTGTGGGGCGACGATTCCCGGGCGGGCCGAGGCCTTCGGCTCCGCCGCCGGGGGTGCCGCTGCTGCTGCTGCTGCTGCTGCTGCTGCTGCCGCCGCCGTTGCTGCCGCTCGTGCTCCAAATCCTTGCCGAGGCCAACCCCCTTTGAGCCAATACCTCTAGCCACCACCAAATTCTCGCCTGCGTCCCCCCCGCGCCCCTCGCCCCCCGCGTGCAGGCTCGTCGTAGCGGCGGCCGTGACGCCGCCCGCCTCACCCTTCCACCCGAACCGCTCCTTCGACTCCAGCCTTGCACCGGCAGAGGAGCGCCCTCCCGCCGTGCTTCTCCTTCCCGCGCTGATGCCACCCCTTCTCTCCGCGGTGCCAGCTCCGTTTCCGCCTCGCCCAGCCGTCCGCTCGCCTCCGCCCGCTGCCTCGACCAATGGTCGCGCGGTTGGCCACGCATTTCTCGCTCTCCCACCACCGCGGCCGCCACCGCCACCGCCGCCATCGTCGCGGATTCCGTCCCTTCCCCCGGCCGCTGCTGCCCTGCCGTCGAGCGCGACTCCCCCGTCTGCGGAGGCTCGAAACCGGGCTTGAGCGGTGGCGCGCCGGACGCGGGCGGCGGCCGCAGCGGCTCCGGCGCCGATGGTCGCCGGGGTGGGCACGGTCTCTGCCCTGAGGGTCGCAAAGGAGGCCATGTTGTAATCCCCGTCCAAGAAGCTGGAGCTGACGGAGTAGAGGTCGGAGGACCCGAGCCCCGCCGTGGACTCCGTCAGGGTGCTGTTGCCCGCTAAGGTCGCTGCGGCGGCGGCAGCGGCGTCGACGGCAGCTCCTTTCGTTAGTCCACCTTTGCCGCCGCCGCTGCTGCTGGTGCTGCTGGTGCTACTGCCCTCCTCGCCAAACGGCGGCGATGGCCCGGCTTTGTAGTCCAATCTGCCTCTGGAAGAACAATAAGAAGGGTATTCTTCTCCTTCGTCGTCGTTCGACGTTACGGTTCGCCTCCCAGCATCCCCGCTAGCCGCCGCTCCTCCCCCCGCCGCCTCTTCGCGCGTATCTTCGGCGAGGGTCCCGTTGGGAGTGCTGCTGCTTCCTCGCTCAGGTGCGGCTGGTGCTGCGACGGCGGGGCCGCGTTGAGGCGGCTGCTTGTCCAAGCGCAGAAACGGGTGTGCGGCGGCCTCTTCCACACGCATCCTGCGGCGCGGGTCCTGGCAGCAAGAAGGGGGAGAGCGCACAACGAGAAGCGTCGTCATGACGGCACAGAAAATCCCTCAAGGCCGTCGGGCCGGATGCTGGACTTTGGAGCAACGTAGCCAAATGTAGGACAAGCATTGTTTTGTCTGTCAATTGCCTATGACCAGTCGGAGTATCATCACGCCGAAAGTCAGCGATCGGCACGTGAAATGAGGACGTAGGTGGCGCGTTCCGGATTCCAACAAAAAGCCTTCTTACCAGCGTCTAGAAAGTGTAAACTGCGTACGACTAAATACCCACTTGTATGCTTTGTCCCATCGTTCCTCTATCCGAACTCCCCCTCTGCGTCGGCACTCGTCGTACGCCTTCCTCGCCCCTTTGCCTCTTCCGCCGTCCCCCCCACCCACAGGACAGTCGACTCCGCCAACCCCTAACTACTCACCAAGCTCAGCATGGAGGCCAAGAAGTCTCTCGCGATGTCCGACAGCCCTTCCGGCACCGCGTAGCGCCCGGACCTCGCGTTCGCCAGCGTGTCCCCTACCCTCCTCCCCTGGAACGGCGCCCTCCCGGTCAGCATGGTGTACAAGAGGCACCCCGCGGACCACAGGTCTGCCGATAGCCCGTAACCCCCCGGCTGCTGCCCCGCCGCCGACGCCCCGTACACCGGCCCCTGCACCTCCGGGGCCATCGTGTTGGGCGTGCCGCAGAGCGTGTGTCTTTCGCTGTCCTCCGCTCTGCGCGGCGCGGGAACGAACAAACGGCCGGGGCGGGGGCTCGTAAGAAAGGGTGGGTCAAACGATTGTGTTCCCGTTGTTTTTTTTGCGTCGGGAAGGGGAAACGGGGCCGGGGGCATGCGTGATTTTCGCGCGTTGCTGCTGTAAGGACCCGTCGCACGTCGTCCACCAGGATGGCGGATTGATAATAGATACGAGCAGGCCGTGGACGTTTGTGCATCTCGTCCCATCTACAGAACAATACCGTCTGCTAAGGGGCGAAACTGGCGAGGCACACAAAATCCAGATCGAGATGTTGTTGTTACAAATACTGCTGTTGCTGCGGCTGCTGCTGCTGCTGCTGTAGAGCATGTATTTGGCGGGCGTGGACGTGTTGGCAGTGAACGGATCTGAAGCACTACACTACTACTACTCCTGGGGATTTAGACGAGCAAAACAACAATGGTTGGCCGTTTTCGTTCTTTTGTGGGAGCGACAAAATCCAAAACGGCGGTTAAACGCAGACCCAACAGCCAGCCGCTAATAAACGGCGTATCCAATAACGGCACCGGGCATGGGCACGCACCAATACTGCAGTACAATACAACCCACCCCCTTTTGCTGTATTGTATGACCGGCCGTGCCCACGCCGCCGAGCACAACGATACTCACTCGAGCTTGACCGCCAGACCGAAGTCCGCAATCCTCAGCCGCCTGCCGTCCTCCGAAAGCAGCAGGTTCGACAGCTTCAGGTCCCGGTGCATGATCCCGCTCTCGTGGAGGTACTGCAACCCCGCCAGCAACTGGCCCATGTAGCCGGCCGCCTCTCTCTCATCGAGCGGCCCGCTACTGCCGCTACTGCTGCCGCCGGCGCCCCGCAGCCTGCGGTACAGGTCACCGCCCCCGCATAGCTCCAGCACCAGGTAGACGAACCGCTCGTCCTCGAAGAACTCGAGCAGCTCTACCACTGCCGGGTGCCTCAGCCCCCAGTGCAGGCGCACCTCGTTCGCCACTCGGGCACACGCGAGCTCCAAGCCCCCACCAAGCCCTCCTTCCCCGTCCCCGCCGCCGCCGCCGCCGCCGGTACTCGTTGCGGTGCCGCGGAGGTGCTCCGCGGCCCGGTGCTTGTCCACGACCTTGAGAGCGACTTCTAGGCCGGTCGATCGCACCCGGGCCCGATAGACGACGGCAAAGCCGCCCTTCCCGAGCTCCTGGCCGACGTCGAAGTCGTCGATGCATGGCGGCACTGGCAGCGGCGCTCCCTCACCTGGTGCAACAGCATCATCCCGCATAGAGAGAACCCTGGCCGGGAGGTGAAACTCACCAACCAGATTTGAATTTTTTTTTTTTGGCGCGCTCTACGAAAGAAGCAAGTTCCCGCTCGCCTTGCACGTGCAACAGGTCTCGCGTGCCCGCCGACAGACTTGCCGGCAGGCCGCCAACGACTTAGCTTGGGTGATCCCGCAGTCGGGGCCTTCTACGGGGCGCGGTGGCCGGCTAACGGCTAACCCCCGACGAAATTGAACATGCACGAGAGCGTGTCCAACTTGTCAAACAGTTGGACTGCGGTGCCCCCAAAATTGCCCCCCCTATACATTCCTATTGAGAGGGCCCCCTCTGCCCACCCCGTTTTGGTGTGTTGGCTGTTGGTGTCAAGCTGGCAAGCACGCGTGCAGTGGCCGTGGTTTGCGAAGAGAAGCAAGATTCATTTTCTTCATCTGACACGGCTTGTACACTAGAGTTTTGATGTGCATTAAAGTTGTGAGCAAGCACCCAATTGGACAATCAATGTTGGCTTCTTTCTTTGGACGGATCAGATCGATCGATCCATCCATCCATCCATCCGACGACGCGTGCCCCCCCAACAAAATATATTTTTTCTGATTGGCGACGAGAGAGACCACCGAACCCATGTCTGTCAATCTTGTTACGAAAACCCAAATACTATCTCGACCTCTGGGGTGGCTACTACTGCAAAAAAGAATGGAGAACGTCGTTTCGACAGAGTTATGTATTGAGACAAAAATCGCCAAAAGAAATAAGATGGAAGATTTTGTACGTTACAGCAGTAGTATGTTCGGAGACATTGAGAGACCAATGGTCCCTGTTCGTTGATGTCGCCTGTGCTCCATAACCACTGCCCAAACATCGGGGGTTTCCGTTATAGAAGAAGTTAAAAATACGCCAGATGTATTTTGGGCAGCGCGCGAAAATACTTCCCTTCGAAGAGATTCATAATCTGCATGTTGTACAGAAGATTACGTGCCACGCATCATGCAGTCAGCAATGTAACCGGTGACCAATTGGAGCAAACCAACCGTACCATTCGTTGTGTTCTTCTCGGGCGGGGGGGAGGGACCCCCTCGTGAGCGCCTCACACCAGATACAAAAGGCGAACATGATTCATCAGATGCCAACATTAACGAGCAAAGCGGGCGTAGACTGGCGCCCAAAATACTACGGTAGCTGCGACGAGAACAATGCCGATCCCACCACGATTTAACAACCGTCCAAACTCTGACGAACGTCGGGTGCACGCTTGGCCATTCATTCGCAAGCAAACCGCAACCACCGTTGCTTTATCAGATAGAGAACACACAGCGAAAAAGGTCTAAAAGAACAATGCTACACAAAAAAAGGCAGAAGTGACGCTCAGTCTTGAGAAGGAGCCTCGTCGTGAAGTCACTCACGTCTGTCTGCAAAACCAAAACCAAACCCTTGCGCGCATGCATGCATGCGGTTTTCCATGAGAGGCTTTCTCGAACTCCGTTGCATGTTCAAAGAGCCGACCGCTCGCTCGATTTTTCCGGCTAGGCCGCGCAGGGTTCACCCACCATCATCACAGGATTCGGCGAAAAAGCAACAATCGAACAAAACCAAAGCAGGCTTTTTGCAATTGATAAAGCGAGCCGATCGATAATGGGGAACACCCTTATACTACCTTATGCCCTTGCCATCAAAGCCCCGCCCGAAATTGGGAATACCCAACCGAGGGCGCTTCAGCAAAGGGAATGAGCCAGCAATCTTAATGATGATCACAGGTTCACCTCTACAGCCGCGAAGACCAAAGCCCGATGGCTTGACAACAACACCGTCACGCTAGAAGCAGCACCGATCCACACGTCCCGGGCTACGCAAAAAAAAAAAAAAAACGCGTTCGGGGTTCCTTGAGCAGCCTCCTCGGCGTGAGCATGCCATGCCACAGAAAAAACGCTGTCGACAGCGTGCCTCATTGCCGCCTACGGCCGAGAGGCTCGGCTCTGCCCTACTGCTGCTTGGCGGCTAGGCCTTCCAAGGTGGCCAAAACCAGCTGCCAGAACTTGCCGACCGAAGCAATGTTCACCCGCTCGTCCGGAGAGTGGGCGCCGTCGATAGTCGGTCCGAAGCTCACCTGCAAGGGATAAAAAGAAAACGGGGCAAAAACAAGAAAAACATGAGGGTGTCAAGGGTTGGTGGGAGTTACCAAGGTATTTCGAACAGGACGCCCGAGAAAAACATGAGGGTGTCAAGGGTTGGTGGGAGTTACCAAGGTATCTAGAACGGGACGCTCGAAGAGGAAATAGTCGGAGAATCAGACACGACGAAAGAGGCTCTCCGCTGTTGCCACAACTTTGTCGTCGGAGGAGCTTTCACTTTTTTATCACCGTTCGTCCGGTAGAGCTTCCCGAAAGGGGTGGGGATCGGAAATCTCTCAGGCAGTCTACCATATGACTATCCCATCACAGCCGATCTACTTCCGATCGCCAAAGTGTTGCTGTTTATGGTCTTGTTGCCTTGTCTACTACTGGTACGACATAATAGGTGTTCCAATCGTTTCCTACTAGGAACGGGTCCCACTGCACTACTGGGTTGACATAGATGTCTTGCGGAACGTACCGTGGGACGCCCGGCACTGTTGCCCTACGTAAGAGAGCAGTCGCGATACGTTAAAAAAAAAGACATCGCTACCCTCGGCAAACCACTCAGACGATCGCAAAAAACAATAGCAAATTATATTGGCCGCACAATGTCCATCCCAGGGGCCTTGTCGCCAATCACGCCGCATTCCAGGCCTGCGTGCAGGGCTTCAATGCCGGGTTCTTCGCCGTTTAGCAGGACTCGCAGTTCATCCCGCGCAACCTGCGGTTAAAATTCGCGAAGCAGGGTCAGCGTCAGCAGTGCTCCTCCCCCAGAAGCAACAAACACGGGTCTGCACGACGAGGTTCGCTTTTCGCGCGCGTCCGTGAAGCCTGTTTCTTTTCCACTGCTGAAACAGCAGCGTCTGTGGAACATCTATCTTCATATTCCGAACGGGAACATGATTTTTGCTCGAGAGCTCCTCCAATTTCGTTTTTGGGGGTCACTAAGACACACGTTTAAGACTGACGTACTTTCATTGGTCGGTCGGTCGATGCAAGATCAAGCAAGATACACACATGCACCGTAACCTCCTCCGCGCACCCCCCGCCGAGGGAAATCCCAAAATCACAAAGCATGTGGTGCTTTCTTACCACATGAGTATAAATATAGGCATATTTTCATTGGCCACTCCGTTGGCGCGGTCGACGCAATAGAATTAACGCACGCAACGCTCGCGCGGGCGCACACACGTGGGACACAGCGGCGCTCGAGATACGCGAAAAAACAGGTACGCAGCGCAAATTTCGCAAAAAGACACGAGCTCCCGAAGCTCTTTTGAGATCTCATGGCCATTGCGCCCTCCTTCAACACCGATATAAAAATAAAGAAAAGCCCACACTCGTCCGATCTCACACACGAAGAGGACAAACCGACCTTCATCCGTCAACCCCCCCCAAAACAACCCCCGCCTCCCCCCCCCTTTTCATAGGACCATTGTGCTTCACCTTGAGAACGTTGGACTGCAGGTTTGGCTGCCAGCCCGGGTACGCCTGCCGTCGAAGCACGTTGCTGGCGCCGCAGAGCTCCGCCGCCGTCTTTATCCGACGGCGGACCGCCTCCAGGGGAGGGCTCAGCGACGACCTCGTGGAGCACAGGATCTCGTACGTGCCGTTTCCTCCAGCATCGCCACCTTGAGCTCCTTCGATAGGCGTTACGGAAGCCAGGTTGCTCGAGGTCTCCACCTTAAAAGCGCCGGCCAAACACGTTGGCGCGTTATCATGAACTACTCGATTCAAATATCTTCAACAAAGTGCTTGAAACGCTTGTTTCGTCTCATTTGGCCCCGCATGTAGCGCAACTGCGAAACAAAAAACTAGGCAGCCCCCCCCCCCCCCCCCTTCAAAACGACACACACCGAACCCCCTTCGGAACGACACATCCAAGGGGAAGAGGGTTTCTGAGCCAGATACCAGCCCATCTCCAAGGCATGGACGCCTCAATACAAAACTGGAACGAGGTTCTCACCAGCCCTTCAACATCGTGCGAGATCTTCACCACCCCGTGAGGCAGCAGCTCCAACAGCGACAAGAGCCGCCGCGCCGCGCCGGCTCCGAGGCATGTTCCCGCCGCCGCGTCAGCGTCCTTTCGGATCCGCACGGCCATGGAGGGCTCCTTCGTGCCGAACTCCATCTTCAGGTCGCCCAGAATGGCCCCGGCGATTTCTTCGGCAGCCTTAAGAGCACCGGAGTCTCCTGCAAAAAAAAAGACAGGGAGATACTGCCGAGTGACTACACGCATACACGTCAATACTGCCCGGCAGGCATAGGAGTACCGTTCAAGGTTGCGCGGCCCTAGCAACGAGCCAAACCCAAAAAACGTTTTCTCTTCCGGGAGGGCAAAACTATGCCCGTGACGACGGCATACATCGACCGGCCGGCCGCCGGCGTATAATGCGGGCCCGCAGCTAAGAAAACCGCCCCTCAAGATTATAGTCTAAAGGGCCATACTGCTCACGAAAACTGAAAAAATTGGGTTACGAAAAAACAACATCGCCCTAGGATCCTGCACTAAGGTCTCTATATATACGCCAGGCAGTTAACGTGTGTACTCGAAGGTGGAGAATAAATGAGAAACTGAAGCCTAGACACGATTTTGCCGTTTCTCGCGACATCTCCGCACCCCTCATCTACGACAGCTGTACACAAGAGCAGGCACCTTTCGGGAGCAGGATGGTCGCGAACGCCTCCCTCGGGATCGCGTTGTGCTTGTCCCCCCCCCTCAGGTCCACCAGGCGCAGCGACGGGACCCCCTCCAAGAGAGCCTCCAGGACTCGGATCAAGAGCTTCACTCCGTTCCCTCGGTCCTGCGCGAGACGTTCGTTCGAGAAGTTTGTTCCAGAAAAAAAAAAGGGGGGACGTCAGCCCGGGGAGGTCGGTGCCAGCGTCGGAACTGTTAACTTTTTTGGCTCTCTCCCGTGTGGCATCCATCCCAAATTTGTCACAACTAGAGGTTGTTTAGCGCTCTTCTGTGTGGCATACATCCCGAGACGGGGGGATTCAGAGAACGGACACCATTTCCTCGCCCAAGGGGCACGGGTGCGAGATGGAGTCTGGATTCTTGCTCGTGGGAGCGACTCGACCGCTAGCGCGGTTCGCCAAGAACCGCTTTCAGACAGTCGCTGCACGCCTGGTGTACCGTCACTCCCACGCCAGAATAAAAATGAAATTCTTCGACAAACGAAAAAATAACTTCGAATTTAGAAAAAAAAAAGGAATGCCAAATAAAAATAATAATACAAGTACAAAGTGAGAGTGCGGCGGTAGCGTGCATGTCCGTCTCGCTGCGCAGCATTGGAACACGGCCGGCCGCTGCCAAACACGCATGAAGCACTGCTCGGCTTCCCTCTGAGGCGCTCGCCTCATGCACAACGTAATGGCTTCATATCTCACAGCTCACCTCCTGAATGTTGATGCCCGAATGCCCGCCCATCAGTCCCTCCACGGCTACACTAGAGCACCGAAACCAGCATCCATCACGACAGCAGCGGTGTGAACGTTCAGCGGTTATGAGGGAAGGGGCAAGTCCAGAAAGGGAGGTATGAACACACGAAAGTACAAAAAAAACACGCAGGCAGAGACTCGACTACAACGCATTCGAGCGCAGGCATGCAACGACAAAAACAAAAAAGAGCCAAATCAAATCTACTGGCTTCTGCTGCAATGTCTTTTTTTTTTGGCTCGCCTGAACGATTCGTACGATTCGGGATCGACGGCCTCTTGTTCCACGGGCAGCGTGATCAGCGAATCCCCGCCCCCCGCGCACCCCACAAACAGAGATCCCCACTCCACCGTGTCCTGATTTCGCCGTCGCCGTCGCCGTCACCGACACCACCGCCGGGCAAAACGATCAATATACGTTCGGACGCACGTTCGGTTACACACACACACCGGAAAGAGGAATCCGGACATTCGAGAACACCGTTCTTGTACGTTGGGTGCAGCCAGCCGCTGCTGACAAGGCGGCTTTGACTCGAAACTTTTTCGGACTCGGCTGTGATGAAGTTTGAGGCCCCTCTGGGTACTGGATGTCATAGCCTACGAATCAGGATGTCATGCACTAAGCAAAGGGGCTGGCGGCGAATCTGCCAACCAAGGTGAGGCCTGAACGCCGCAGGCTTGACCGTATCCCCCTCGGAGCCTTAACACACGTGTGACCAAACTTTTTTTTGCTACGGGAGGGACGCTCGAATGCAGCACTCGCGTAACCTCGACGGGCGTAGCAAAACATCGAACCGCTTTCACCATAAACGCCTCCACCAACACGCTCCTTCCCCACTCCTTCCTTCAACTCACGAGGTTGAGCATCGTTCGCCCCTTTACCATGCTCCCGTCGAGCTCGAACGCACCGACCAATCCGATCTCCTCCTCGACCGTGAAGAGGCACTCGAGGGGAGGCAGCCGCGCTCCCGAGGACACCGGGACTGCGAGCGGGGACGGGGGACGGGGGACAGGAGTTGGGAGCGCGTTGCCGTCGTAGAGAACAACGAGTGTATAAACGACGACTGCAATGTCGTAGTATCAAAGAAACGCAGTGTCATCGTAATCGTAGAGACCGTTGAGTGTATACTGGCATGTCAGAATGTCAGAGAGAGAGAGAGAGAGAAGCAGCGTCGCCGTAGTGAAGGGCGGGTGGATATGTCATAAATTCCAGAGAGAGAGAGAAAGCAGCGTGGTCGTTGTGAGCGACGACTGCAATGTCATAGTATCAAAGAGACGCAATGTCATCGTAGAGACCGTTGAGTGTGTATGTCACTATATCAGAGAGAGAGAGAAGCAGCGTCGCCGTAGTGAAGGGCGAGTGTATTGTCAAGTATCAGCGAGAGTGTACTAAAATAATAGTGAAGCAACGTTGAGCTAGAGTTTAGGCCGGGGGTGGAGAGGAGCCGTATCCTTTCCGTTGCTGCTGCTGTTGTTGTTGTTGTGGTTTTCGTTGTTATTGTTTTGTCGTTTTCTACATAAAAAACCTGGCTGGTCTTGGCTCAGTATCTTCTGGTTGTTCTCGAAAAAAACTGATTAATGCATACAAGCTGTTGCCTCTTGGTCCAGCATCGTCCATCATTCAACTGGGGGGTG